AGTCATGACATCCAGACCAGGGCCCCTCCCCGGCACCCCACCCCCACCCCAGCATTCCATCTGTGCACAGCTGCCTTCCCGAGCAGGGTCCTGAGAGCCACAGCATGGCAGCCCTGGAAGTGCACCCAGGACGGCCCTGCCCACCCTGTGTACAGATGGGAAGACCAAGGCTCAGCACGGGGCACGACGGCACGATAGGTGGGTGACGGAGCTGGGGCTAGAACCCACAGCCCCTTGTTCCCAGTCAGGGGTCCGCCCCGGTTTGTCCCCGGGGTCGCAGAGTGGCGAGGGGTGTACGGAAGAGAGGATGAGGCTGCCAGCAGTTTCCCACTTCCGCCCGCAACTTAGTGAGCCACCTCTGAGGCTCAGTCCCCATTCCCTGCTGGGTGGGACAGTACAGGGAAAGTGGCTTTGACATAGAGGTCTCTGTGCGGCAGGGCAGGGGGTGTTCTGTGGAAACAGAGTGGGCAGTGGATGTAGTCTGAACCCTGGGTCTTGAGCCACCAGCCTCATCGGAGCTGGGGCTGGAGCCAGGGCAGTCCAGTCAGGTGAGCTTCAGCGCCCCATTGGCCACCTACCTGAGGCTGGCTTGCTTAGGTCAAAACACTGGCACCTGTCCCTGTTTTTCTCTAAGCCTCAGTTTCCCCACCTGTACAATGGGCACAGGAAGAGGGTTGGATTGGATAGATGATCCCTGAGGGCTGTGGAGCTCTGATATTTCATGACTCTAACCCCGTGACTCCGTGGCAAGGCCTCCTCCTCCCTCTGGCATCTTGTTTATTCAGAGCATCCCTGGCCCGAGACTGCCTGCCCCAACACCCACCTCCTCCCTGCAGCAGAGCTTCCTCCCTCCCCACCTCACTGCTATTTCTGCCCATTCCCTGCCTCAAGACGGAGGGTTCCTCTGTCCACTCAGGGGCCCACAGCCTCTCCAAACCCTAAAGCAGCTCCGTGGCAGCTCTCAATCCCGCCCCTTTGCCTCATTCGCATCTCAGAAAATGACATTGTGTCCCTAACACACACACACACACTCCTGCCCCCCCGCCCAGTATTCCAAGTCAGAATCAGGAGTGGGAGCTCGCGCAAGCTGCCCCTCACTCCAGCCCCCCCTTCCCCAGCATCTATCACCAAGTCCCGTCACCTCTCAGCTAAACCAATCTCGATGCCGTCTGTCTCTGCTGGTCCCCACCGCCCTGTCCCCAGCCCAGACACAGAAGGCGGTGGCACGAGCTGGTACAGAGCACTCTGCCGAGGTTCAGTCTCTGCTCTGCATTCCTAGGCAAGTTCCCTAAGTGCTCGCTGCCTCAATTTCCCCATCTAGAACAGGCCTGAGCCTGGTCTCTACCTCAGCGAGTTGGCTGAGGAGCACGGGCTTGTTGGGTGTCGTGGCTGTGTGTTCGGCTGTGCTGGGGCCTGTGTGCACACAGCATCCTGCACGTGCACAGCTTGGCCGGGGCTGGGTACACATGGGCTGTGTGGCCCGCGTGCGCCCCGCCCCTGGGCGTGTGGGAGAGCACGCAGGCAGCAGTCTGTGCCGGGCGCCGGGAAGCCGTGCGCACGTGGGTTTGGTGTGGGCACGCACGTGTGCAGTGCCTGCGTGAGGGCTGGGCACACACATGGCCCGGTGCACACGGGTGTGTTTCCGAGCAGCGTGTGAGTGAGCGCGTAGGCAGGGCTCTGTGGCGTGTGTGCACATGCTCACCGTGTGCAAGCCTCCCTCCCCGGCAGCCACGGAGGCCCTCCTTGCTGGCCTCCCTGTGTCGTGGGAGTCTCGGGACCCCGAGGGAGGGAAGCTGCTGCTGGCGGATGTGGCCAAGAGGGACTGGATTTATTTAGATTTAGGTGGTGGGAAAGAAGTGGAGACTCATAGGATCTGGAAAGATGGAAGGCTGGGCTCAGAATGATTCCCCAAGCATGCCTGCTCCCCGGACTTGGGGTCCACATTCTGCTCCCCCAAGCGGGTCTGATTCACTATGAGGAGGGGGGCAATGACTCCATCTTTGGACCTCTGTCCCCCCACCCCCAACCTGGCCAAAATAAGAGGAATCATGAGGTCTTCCTGGCACTCAGCACTCTCCTCATGGGCAAAGGGGAGATCCCTGAGAGTCCCCTCCCTCTGTCTGCTTCAGGGGCCACCCCAGGCAGGAGAGTATGGCAGGTAGGAGGGTGCCTGCACCCTGACTGTGATATTTGCCTTGTCCCAGGTGACTCCTCCCTGGAGGGCAGCCCTCCCCCTGAAGAAGGGGAAGTTGTCAGAGGCAAGCCCACAACCTCCGAAGTAGCTGCTTGGGCCTCTCTGGGGTTGGCTGGCGCCACAGCAGCCTCTGAGAAGCACAGAGGTCCATAGGCATGGGGTAAATAACTGGGGGTATCAGGGAGTCATCTAAGATGGCCCCGGGAGTTTAGGTCTACTCTCGTTCTTCCCAGTCCTCCTGTTGTCCACACCCCCCTTTCTCTTGCCGCCTCCCGTGTTTCCATATCACCTGTTTGTCTCAAAGTCCCCTGAAAGACTGGCTAACTCCTAATTGTAGAGACAGGAAAAGTGAGGCCCAGAAAGGGAAACAATTTGTCAAAGTCCACACAGCATGTCTGTGACCAAATGGTCAAGGAAATTCAATCTGTTGAATGAGATGGGTTATGGATTCTCAAATGACTCCAGCCTCAGTAATGTAGCCCCCTCCTTCTCATCGGCCCTCACCTCCCTAAACCACCCCAGCAGGAATAACAGTGACCAGAACCTTCTCTCTGGCCAGTCAAAAACACAGTTTTAGAACAGGGGTAGCTCTTTGAGTTGCCCCATCCAAACCTCTCCCTGTATTCATGGGGAGAAACTGAGTCCCAGAGAAGGTGGGAGACACGCTGAGTCTCATGGTGAATCTGAGGTCCCTTGTGACTGAAGCCAAAATGCTCATTTCCTAGAGTGAGAAGTCAGTCCAAGATCCCTGGGGCATCTACACTCGCCCTGAGCTCTTCTGCCCAGCCTATCCTCTCCCTAGCCTGATTCTGCCTTTTTGCTGTGTGACTAGGCCACGATTCTGTCCCTCTCTGGGCTGCTGCCTGTTCAAGAAGGCCTCTCCTCGCTCAGAGTCTGAGACTCTGAGCTGCCCCCAGCCCCAGGCCCAGCAGGAGAGGAGCCAGGGTCAGGGGAGCTGGGGGCCCAGCCTGCAAGGCCCAGCCTTCCAGAGCCAGGCCAGCCCTGGTTGCAGTGACCTCCCATCTCCAGGCCAGCCGACCAAATTCCTCCTTTAGAATAATAAACAGTGTGGCCAGCCAGGGAGGCTGGGAGGGGAGGGGCAGGGAGGCTGAAATGACCCCCTCCCCCAGCCTTGGCTGCTAATGATTTTCTTTGGCTGAGACCTCAGGCAGGAACGGGGGAGCCAGAGGGGCACCCACCGAGGGGCAGATGGGCCTCTGTGGGGGCTGCTGGTTCTGCCTCGGCACTGCTCCCTCCTGCTGGCGCAAGACTGGCATCCAGCTGGAGGGGCTGGGGCGGGAGGGATGGGAGTGGGAGTGCTGTGGAAGGGCGGGGCTTCGGGTCTGGAACAGTTGAGAGAGAGGAAGGGGGCGGGCGAATGAAGAGACCCTCAGGCAGGCCGGCCCGAAGGGACGGGGAGAAGGAGGACGGGCAGAGCAGAATTGCTCACAGAGCTTCTTGGGGTGCTGGGCAGCGCTGAGCCCGGGGCCCAGCAGTAGGTGGAAATGCAGGCCCAGCATGAGTGGCACACTCCCCGTCATCCCATTTTGAGAGCTGGAGACTGAGGACACAGGAGGCAGCCCCAGTGGGGCTCAGACCCGGAGCCCAGCCCTGGCTTGAAAAGTAAAGGGCCGGGATGGGGAGCGGAGTGGGGGCCGTCTGGGCGTGGCCTGAGGAGGCGGGCGGCTGGGCAGCCTCTCAGGGAAGTCAGCAGACCCACAGCACGGGAGGCTCCCTGTGCCTGGTCACGTGCTCACTTCCTACCCCTGTCCGCCTCTGGCCTCCTTCCTATCCATGCTGCAGGCAGACCCCTGCCAGCTCGGCTATTGGTGCTTATCTGGGATCCTCAGATGGTGCTGCCAAGGGCAGGGATGGAGCAGAGACCCACCTAATTCCATCCGTCTCCCTGTGTCCCTGCTTCGGTCTCCTGCTGCTGCCTTCACTGTGTGCTTCCTCCCTCTCGGTCTCTGTGTCTGTCTCTCTCTGCCTCTATCATTCCGGGTCTCTTTGTCTCCCTCCTCAACAAGCTCTGCTGTGTCATCCTGCGCAAACTTCTATCCCATCCAGAGCCTTGGTTTCCCTGTCTGGACCCTGGGGGTGGGGGTGGGGGGACTTGGACTCAGTAGTCTCCAAGGACCTTTGAAGCCTTGCCATGCAGTGGGGCTTCCCCTGGGCTCAGCCCCTGGCGCTCTCCCCTAGGCCTCCCTGTGCTGCTTGGGGCTGCGTAAAGGGGGCCCAAGCATCGGGGTGCCCCCCCACATTCCGCAGTTCTGACTCCCCCGCTTCCCTTCCCACAGCCGCCTCCACTTCCTGTTGTGCTTTTGGAGCCTGTGGGAGTTCTCTGGGTTCTGGCTTTCCCCCTCCTGCTCCCCCAGGCCTTTCATCACGCTTTCCCAAATATTTGTCCTGGCAGATAAGAGCCTGGTATTGAAACTGTCACCCGGAGGACTGGCTGTTGGAGCTGGCGGGCCCCTGGACACCATCCAGCCCGAGTCCCCCACTCCCATTGTGCATACAGAGAAACTAAGGCCCAGAGAGGCCTGGGTTCAGCCAAGGTCACTGGAGAGGTAGAGGCAGAGCCAAAGTAGGGTCCACGCACCCTGAGGCCCAGCCCCGTGCAGGGGGAGGGGACTCTGGGGCATGAGTGCCCTCTTGATCATGGGACATGGGTGACTTCTGACTTCAGCCCCACAGACATGGAAGCTGGGTGGTCTAGGCTGGGGTTTACTCTGCAGGACCCAGGTGCTAAGTCCGATTTGCAATGACTCTGCCCACTCTGAGCCCTGACCCCTATTTAACTCTGCAGGACACCATGCGGCCTCCGAGCACCATGCCGGCTCCTGTCCTCAAAGGTAGGTACACTGTGGCTTCCAAGTGTCATTCCAGCTCCTGTCGTCAAAGGTGGAGGGGGCTCCCAGGGAGCCACTAAGCAGAACCCTGGAGCTGGCAGGGGCGGTGCATGCTAGCACTGGGGCCTGGGAGCCCAGGGGCACTGTTGTGCTCTTGAGCCTCAATTTCCTGCCTTTCCAGTGGTGCTCAGTGGAGGCCTCCTTCTACTGTCCACTCAGCTCAGAAACCTCAGTGGACCCCTGCTTGTCCAGAGCCATTAGCTCAGATCCTTTGCTCAGCCCTCTGTACCCCATGCCTCCTCACCAAATGTCCCCACCCCACTTGCTAACAGTCACCCCAGTGTCCCACCTCTTCCCAGCACTCTTTGGTATCAGCCTGGCTGGTCTGCTTCCGGTCTGGGGCTCCCCTCCCCTGCCTGGATCCCTCACTGCCTATGAGCTCCCAAGTCCTGGCTGGGCTTCCGCTAGCACACCCTTCCCTCACTACTGCCTGTTACATGCAGTCGGTGCTCCAGGGCCTGGGCGGCTGACCGGGCAGCCAACGGTCACTGGCCATCAGTGACCAGCCCATGGCCTACCGAGGATGGCTGGCTGGCTGGCTGAGCATCTGTGGGCTTGGGGGACGTGGCTTACAGAATCCTTCCCAGAGGGCATCAGCAGGGGGAGAGGAGCCAATCATTTGACACCCCGCCCCAGTTCCCTCCAGCCCCCGGGGGGGCTGCTGATTCTCTCCGGTCCTGTCTTCCCTACTCTGAGCTACCTTGCCCCACCCTCCCCAATCAAGACCACTTCTGGGCTTGGGTGGAACCCGGGCAGCTGGGGCAGCTACAGGGAAGGGGCTCAGAAAGTGACCTGGGAAGTAATGCAGGAACTGGAGGCCTGGGAATTGCTTCCCGAGGATTTCCTGATGCCTTTGGGAGAACATGCCCACAGCCTGAACACAGCATAGCTGGAGGACTCTGAAGCCTGGGATCTAGAGGCACTAAGATCAGGAGGCCAGGAGGCTGGACTGGAAGGAGTCCCTGGGGCCCGGGCACTGGGCAAGCAGGCTTCAGAGCCATGGGTTCCAGTCTGTGTCGGATTAGGGAGGTGTGGTCTTCAAGGACAGTGCAGATATGGCCTCCCCCAGGGTCCGCCGAGAGGAGAGGTGCTGATGCTCTGATGTCTTTTCTCCCGAAGGCCAGGTGCTGTTGCTGCCCCTCCTGTTGCTGCTGGGCCCACAGGCCTCCTGGGGCCTGGTCATCACACCCCCAGGGCCAGAGCTTGTCCTCAATGTCTCCAGCAACTTCGTTCTGACTTGCTCGGGGCCCGCTCCAGTGGTGTGGGAACGGATGTCCCAGGAGCCCCTGCAGAAAATGACCAAGACCCAGGATGGCACCTTCTCCAGCACACTGACACTGACCAATGTCACTGGGATAGACACGGGAGAATACTTTTGCACCTACCAAGGCTCCCATGGGCTGGAGCCTGGTGAACGAAAACGGCTCTACATCTTTGTGCCAGGTAAGCGCCCCCGCCTGCATGCTCACTCCCTGACTTCTCTCACCTGCAGGCGTCTGGGGGGAGCTGAGAGTGCTTAGTGACATTGTGAGACACGGCCAGCTTAGACATGCAGACGAATCATGGAATCCAGCCTGGCTCAGTCCAGGAGTATGTTCACTCCCCACCCCTGGGTCTGGAGATCTGACTGCTCCCTGCCAGCCCACCCCATTCCTGGCTCCCCAGAACTCTGCCTTTTCAGCAGGTTCCAATATGCTCTTTTGGGCTTCCACATTCCATCTTTCCCATACTCCAAGCTCTGGGTACCAGCTACCCTTCAACTTGTGGCTTATCTTCTTTCTCACCCTGGTGCTGACCATATCAAATGTTAAAACTAGAAGGGACCTCTGAGAGCATCCTTATTCTGTAACGGGAAGACTGAGGGCCAGAGAGGGGAAGACACCTGCTCAAGGTCACAAAGAAATTCAGGGGATAGGCAGAAAACCAGTTCCCCTGATCCTCATTCTTGGCCCCACACCTGGCAGATCCCATGATGGGTTTTCTTCCGGTCGACCCCGAGGAACTATTCATCTTCCTCACGGAAATAACTGAGATCACAATTCCGTGCCGAGTGACAGATCCGAGACTGGTGGTGACACTGCATGAGAAAAAAGTGGATATTCCACTGCCCATCCCCTATGACCACCAACGTGGCTTCTCTGGTACCTTCGAGGACAAGACCTATGTCTGCAAAACCACCATCGGGGACAAGGAAGTGGATTCTGAAGCCTACTATGTCTACAGCCTCCAGGGTGAGCCCCCTTTCTGGCCTGATGCTCAGCAGAGGCAAGTATGACCCTCTGCAGAGGTAGAGCCCTTTCCAGCTTACGAAGTGGGCAATTTCATTTTTCACTGGATTCTCACTGTAGTCTTGGAAGGCAGGTAGTGTTTCCCCATTTTACAGGTGAGAAGCTTGAAACTCAGAGGTTGGAGTATGCCCGAGGTTATGGGGAAGGTGGGTGGCAGGGCTGGGCCGTATACCGTGGTAGGCAAAGGCATGGGCCTCAGAGCTGGTTGGGTTTGAATCCCAGCTGTGCACTGAGTTTGCATGGGGCACATAATGTCTCCGAGTCTGCTTTTTCCTCTGGAAAACGAGGAAAAGAATGACTGCCCACCTAGGGGGATTATTGTGAGGATTAAAGACAGAGGCTCCTTGGTACATGGTTTGTGCTCCATACCTTTCTCCTGTACTTAGGTGCCCAGGGAATACATTGACTGAAGACTGTTATCTCTTCTAGAATGTCAGTTCCATGAGGACAGGAATTTTATCTGTTGTGTTTACTGCTAAAGTCCCAGTGCCCAGCATAGTACTTGGCGTATAGGACATAGTTAACAAATATTTGTTGAATGAATGAATCTTCCGCACCAGACATCCCTTCCCTCTCTGAATCCCCACCCCATCCCCAAGCTGAAGGGCTGGTGTGGTGGCTGGTGGTGACTTCCTCAGCCCTAAACTAATCTCTCTCCACTAGTGTCATCCATCAATGTCTCAGTGAATGCAGTGCAGACTGTGGTCCGTCAGGGTGAGAACATCACCATCATGTGCATCGTGACCGGAAATGAGGTGGTCAACTTTGAATGGACATACCCACGCATGGAGGTAATGCTGGGCCAGGGGTTGGAGGAACGGCCAGGGAAGGATGGCTATCTTGACTTGCAGCCTAACTTCTTGGACCCTGCCTGACTGGGGGGCTTACCCCACCTGTTCCTCCAGAGTGGGCGGCTGGTGGAGCCAGTGACTGACTTCCTCTTCAATATGCCCTCCCACATACGCTCCATCCTGCACATCCCTAGTGCTGAGCTTGGCGATTCGGGGACCTACATCTGCAATGTATCGGAGAGTGTGAATGAGCATCAAGATGAAAAGTCCATCAATGTCACTGTGGTCGGTGCGTGCCTTGGGCTTAGCCCCCACCCTCCTTCTGAGCTGGACCTAGACCCTATCATAGCCCCAGGGTACTGTCAGCCAATTCCAGTACAGCTCTAGCTTCAGTACCAACCAAAGCCCATTTCCAGAATAAACCCAAACCAAAACTCAGTGTCAGCCCCAAATCCAACTCTAATCCCACCGTGGACTTTCTGCCTAGCCAGAACCTCAGCCCCAACCCGAGATCTAAACCCAACTGCCATTCCAGGCCCAGGTCGCCCCATCCTCAAATTCAGCCAGGCTGCAGTGAGATCGACAACTCCAGTCCCAATCTCAAACCCGGTCCCCAAATCAGTATCAACCCCCAATTCGGCGCCTGGTCCAGTCTCAGTCCCAACTTCAACCCCAGCTCCGGTAACTCCGTCACTGGTTCAGGTCCTAAAGTCTGAAGCCCCGCCCCCGGAAGGCCGGGCTCCTCTGGCCTTCCATGGATGCCTGGCCTCCAGGAGCCCCGCCCCCAGGGGGCGCTGCCCTATTGGTAGCCGGGCCTAGCCCCGCCCCCTGGGACCCCGCCCCTGACGGCCGCCCCTTGCAGAGAATGGCTACGTGCGGCTGCTGGGAGAGCTGGACGCCGTACAATTCGCGGAGCTGCACCGCAGCCGGACTCTGCAGGTCGTGTTCGAGGCCTACCCGCCGCCTACTGTCATGTGGTTCAAGGACAACCGTACGCTAGGCGACTCCAACGCAGGCGAGATCTCCCTGTCCACACGCAATGTGTCTGAGACCCGGTGAGCAGCGGCCCACCCACTCCATTCTTGACGTTATTCCCTGCAGCTGCCAGGCAGCTCACAGCTTTCAGCCACTGGACACACCTAGATCCACCTTTCCTGAGAGCCTACTATGTGCGAGGCGCCATGCCAGGCACTGGGGAGGCTGCAGAGATCCGAATAGACTGTTCCAGCCCTCCTAGAGTTTCCTATCTAGTCGGGGATGATCACCCAGATGTTTAGTTGTCCTTGTGATGGGGGGAACCAGCTGGGAGCAACTGAGGAGAAAAAGGCCAGATGATCAGGGAAGAGCATGCCAGGCGGGCCACTACTACCTATGCATGGATGGTGGTCCGAAGGCTGCAGATGAGCAGGTGGATACAAGGTGCGGTCGGTGAGGATAAAGCCATGTCAGGCCTTTCTGCAGGAGTGAGATGTGGAGGGGAGAGGGAAAGGGTGCTTCCCCCGTCCTTGTCATCCCTCCCCAACCCCCCTCTTAGCTCAGTGGAGCCAGCTGCCAATGGGTGGGGATTCAGGAGACTGGTGTGAGTCCCACTCTGCTCCTGACACCCGCGTGACCTTGGGAAGCCCCTGCCCCTCCCTGGGCCTGGTTTCTCTTCTCTGTACAAGGAGGGTCGGGGGGGACTGTGAGAGTTCTTCCAGCTCTGGCAACTAGGCCTGTCGTGCTCCACAGGTACGTGTCAGAACTGACGCTGGTGCGGGTGAAGGTGGCTGAGGCTGGCTGCTACACCATGCGGGCCTTCCATGAGGACGCGGAGGCCCAGCTGTCCTTCCAGCTGCAGGTCAACGGTACGGAGCTGTGCACCCTGCCTCCCCCACCCCACTCCGCTTCCCTCTCCCTTCCTACCCTGTCCTCCCACCCATAGGAGGAGAAGGAGCGGGAGAGGGAGCTGAGGACTCAGGAGGCTGGCTTCTAGGCTGAGCTCCAACACTTCCGCTCCTGTGTGAACTCGGCATATCCCCTCTTTGGGCCTCAAGCTGTGTAAGGAGGCCAGTGGGCTACACTGGTGTCCCTAAAGCCTCAGGCATTCATGTACCAGTGCATGATTTTTCCTTCTCACATACCCTTATACTATACTACTAATTAGACAGATATGTATTGAGCAACAACAACACACCAGTCTGTTCAGGTTCTTGAGTCCCTGCCTTTGCATTGCTTGTCCCCTGCTGGGGGGAAGACAAACACTCAACAGCAGGGCAGAGAACAAGCAAATGACACAGAAGATTAGAGGTAACAAGTGCTGTCGAAGTGGGAAAAAAGCTGGGTAGGGAGGATAGAGAGTTCAGGGGGCACAGGGCAGTGAGGGTTGCGATTTCAAATAGCCTGATCAAGTTGGCCTCATGGAGGCGACATTTTCGTGAAGACTTCTAGAAGGTGAGGGCATTCGCCAAGCAGTTCTGTGGGGCAAGGGCCCACCAAGCAGTACCAAGGCAGGACCAACAGCAGAAAGCCGGTGTGGCTGGAACCGAGGAGGGGGAGAGTGGTGGGAGATGAGGTCAGAGCTGAGACCTGGAAGTCGGGGCGGGGGGCAGATTGTGTGGGTCCCCTCCGGCCCTTGTATGGACTTTGGCTTTTACTATGACTGAAATGACGGAGCCACGGCAGGGTTTTGAGCAGGGGAATGACACACTAATGACTTACTGTTTTGTCAATTGACTTTCTAAAAATAAATGTATTTTGAAAGAGAATTTAACCTCTCAATTGTAGATGGAAAATCAGCATCACATGTCATAAATATAAAGCAACCACTAAAATAAACTCTGGGAAAACAAAGCGATGCTATTAAATTCTAGCTCCATGCTCTTGTTTTCCCAGGGCTTTCTCTGACCCTCAGACCTGCTCTGTCTTTGTTAAAAGGAAAGATTAGCGAGTCTCAGAGAGGTGTTAGAGACAGACTAGCACCCAACGGAGGCCTTCCCTTTGAAGTACCCAGAAGGGGAACCTGTCAGTTTTCACACGGTGATTCCTGGTATTTGATGTTCACCTGCAGCCTGAGGCTCCCCTCCCTCCACTCAGGGGAGACCCTGGGCCAGGTCCTCCCCTGGGCCTTTCTCACTGACTGTCCTTCCTGACCTCCCCACCTCCTGGCCTCCTGCCCTCTCCACGCAGTGCCTGTCCGTGTGCTGGAGCTGAGTGAAAGCCACCCTGCCAGTGGGGAGCAGACGGTCCGCTGTCGCGGCCGGGGCATGCCCCAGCCACACCTCACCTGGTCTACCTGCAGCGACCTCAAAAGGTAAGCAGACCTGGGGCCTCTGGCTCCCAGGGTAACCACAGCAGCCTGGAAGGACCCAGTGGAGGTCATCTAGTCCAGCCTCTTCCTCCGGGCACGCTGTTCCAGGCTAGAGCTCCGTCCAAGAAGATGTGGCTTCTTGGAGATGCTCTGCATGACCTAAACTGTCCCGTTTCCTTACCTTGACTCAGACGATCGAATGAAGGGAGTGGATTTTGCCGTCCAGGGCTCTCAGTTCTGGGGTAGGAGCGCCCCCTGCCGGTCAGTCGAGGGGCCACAGGAGGAATGAGCTCAGGGCCAGGCAGCGGGAAGCAGCCGGGACTGGAAGCTGACCCGGCTGGCTCTCCTGGCAGGTGTCCGCGCGAGCTGCCGCCCACGCCGCTGGGGAACAGTTCGGAGGAGGAGAGCCAGCTGGAGACTAACGTGACATACTGGCCCGAGGATCAGGAGTTCGAGGTGGTGAGCACACTGCGCCTGCGCCGTGTGGATCAGCCGCTGTCAGTGCGCTGCACTCTACACAACCTGCTGGGACGCGACATGCAGGAGGTCACCGTGGTGCCGCACTGTGAGTCCTCCGGCCCGGGTGGCCCCTGAAGACCCTCCACCCCCACCTGCACCCCGCCATTCTTGGAACTGTGCCCGTGAGCCCGGTGGGCCAGAGTCAGCGTGCCTGTGGGCACTCAGGAGCATGGCAAAGCCCACCGGAGTATGACCCTGTGCGCAGTATTGGCACCCACGCGTACACCCGTGAGGGTCTGTAAGCCAAGGCTGCGGTGTATGTCTGCAAGCGTGTGCACAAGCGTGCATGACACCCCGCCTCTGTGGGAACCCACCGAGCGCATGTGTATAAACCACGTATATGACCACGCCCAATCCCCAGCCATGTATATAAACCCACGAGTGTGTGTGTGTGGATGCACGATCGCACAAGGGTGCAGACAGTGCGCGTACAATTCCTGTGCGTGTGTGCAAACCGGCGCGGTGCATGTCCGCAGCGTGGAGCGGCAGCATCCCCTCTGTAGAAGCGTGCGAGCACAGTCTCTGCACACAGATGCCTGCTGTACCGTGCGTGTCTGTGAGCAGGTGCACACACACACACACACACGATTCCTGTCCATAGGAATAGCGTCGGCCATGCATGTAGTGTCCCTGGGCAGGCATTTCCCCCTGCGCTGGTACCTCGGTTGTTCGCTTGTTTCCTCTTTCTCCCTGGAGAAGCCCAGCCCCGCCTGCCCTTCTAGTGCCCTCAGTCCAGAGAGAAGGCAGACAAGGAACTAGGCAATCCCACTGCAGGGGGCAGTACTCTGGGGGGGAAGCCGAGAGGGAGGAGGGGCTCCGTGCCCAGCTGGGGGTTTCAGGAAAGTGTCCTGGAAAAAGAAAGCTTTAGGTCAAAACCCGAAAGATACCTGGGAGTTAGCCTGGTAAGGAATGGTGTTCCAGTCAAAGTGAATGGCCTGTGCGTGGGAGAGCCCAGAGACAAAATGGGATCAGAGAACTCAAAGGCATTCAGTGTGGCTGGAGCCCAGAGTATGTGTGTATTTAGAGGGGGGGGAGATAAAGAGAGAAAGGGAAGGGAGTGGTAAAGGAGGGGCTCAGGGCTAGGCAGAAGCCAGGGAGAGCAAAGCTTTGAAGGCTGTGCGAGGCGTTGGCAGGTTGGTGGGCTCGCACACACATGAGCTCGCACACATACAGAGCTGCCTCCGGCCCCCTGGCCTGTGGTGGGACAGGTGGGGGTTTCATACCTTATCTCACTCCCACTCCCACGCACGCACACGTACCCCTGAGCCAGTGGGCACCTGCAGACCAGCCCAGAGCAAGACAGAAGTAGAGCTTTTGTGTGCCACCTGAGCAGGGAGGCACGTACCAGCCCACAGGGAAACTACCGTGGCTGCACGAAGCCTCTTCTTTTTACTGAGATGGCTCCTTAGAAAATTCAGACTTCCTTCCCAGGCCTGGGATGTGTGACCTGGTGGGGAGAGGGAGGAGAGGAGTGATGTTGGTCTGGGACCCTGAGGAGGAGGGACAGGGCCTCCAGGGGTGCCAAGAGGGGCAAGTGGGGGACAGAGGAAGAGGGAATGAGTTCCTCAGGGCCCCATGGGTGGCCAGTGGGGCAGGGTAGGGGAGATGAGGGTCTGGCAGGGGTGGATGCAAACGGAGGGGAAGAGAATGGGAAATCGTACAGCAAAGAGGCCGAGGCCTTCGGGAGGAGACTTAGCGCTTGGGGGCCCAGAGTTAGCCTGACTTGGTCACCCCTGTTCCCTGGGGGATGCACCTTATAACTATCATCACTATCCCAACGCTGCTGGAGACTCTGGGTGAAGCGGGGGAGGAAACAGTTGGGATTCATCGGGCTGTGGAAGCTCAGTCCCTCAGTCCGTTGGCCCCTCTGTCAGGCTCTGTGCTAGCTGTGACAGCCAGGCGAGGGCATAGATTCAGGGGCGAGGGCATCCCAGGCAGTCAGCAGCTGACATCCAATCTGGAGCCACGGCACACAGGCCTGACTGAGCCCTGCAAGGGCTGAAGGCATATGGGGGCCCAGAGAGAGCTGAGCGCTGTTGTAACTGAGGGGCATATAGGTTCTTATGGGAGGTATGGCCCTGAGGGAGGGGCTGAGAGTCTGACATCACAGGCCATGGTTGGTGGAGGGGGGCTTCCCTTCCAGGCAGGACAGTAGAGAGGATTTGCCGTACCAGCGGTGGGGGGACGGGAGGACTGCTAGGGAGCTGCCAAGCTCCCCATTTGCTTATGGCCAGCTCTTTGTCTCTGCCTCCAGCTCTGCCCTTCAAGGTGGTGGTGATCTCGGCCATCCTGGCCTTGGTGGTCCTCACAGTCATCTCCCTCATCATCCTCATCATGCTCTGGCAGAAGGTAACCTCCCACCCTTGCCTAGTGGGTGCAGACTGGCACACTATTTTTTTTTTTTTTACATGGAGCCCCCAGCTGCCCTTGAATGTTGCAGGATCTGGTCACGTCCCAGCCCAGCACAGAGTGCAGGTGTAAAACGACATGGAGCTACCTCCACCCCCAGCAGCAAGGGCCATCTCGGGCCTGGTCCAGGACAGCCAGGGTTCCTTGTCTCTGCTCTGCCCTCCTGGGTCTTGCTTGGACATCAGCCCTGCCCCTCCCAGCCATAGGGCAAAGCACTTTCTGGGTGGACTACATGAGCTCCAGGATTCTTACAACTCTTACCCCAGAGACTCCCAGGCTTCTACTGAAATGCATTCTAATCCTATTAACGTGTAATTTCAATGTTCTGTTCTGAGGCTTCACCATTCTGCAATCCCAACATTTTAAGATTCCTGAGTTAGGATTGCAGCACCCATGATTCTGTCATTCTAAGATTCCAATCCTGTGATCCCAACATCCTATGATTTCAGCATTGTAAGCTTACATCTTTCTGAGATTCCCACTGCAAGTGACCCAGCTTGGGGAGGGGCTGTCCACATCTAGCTGAGTGCCCCTAGCTTGTGTCACTTCCCAGGACTGCAGGATCTCTACTCCCATCTGGAAGCAGCCAGGGCTCTGGGAGAAGCTGGCAAGCTGGTCCTGTTGAGCCAGGCCCTTGGCTATTAGCTGCTCCTTAGCCACTGCCAAGCTGGGGCCTCTTGGCACCTGTTCTCACTGAGCCCATGAAGCTGAGCTTTATCCGTAACTTGCTGTGTGACTTCAAATATGCCTCTGCCCCTCTCTGGGCCTCAGGGTCTCCTGCTCCATCTGTTCCATAAGGGGCTGTGGGCTAGTGGGCCCCAAAGCCCAGACCTCCTCTGATGATCCATCCCTGGTGTTGGTTTTGCAGAAGCCACGTTATGAGATCCGATGGAAGGTGATTGAATCCGTGAGCTCCGATGGCCATGAGTACATCTACGTGGACCCTATGCAATTGCCCTACGACTCCACGTGGGAGCTGCCACGGGACCAGCTTGTGCTTGGTCAGTCCAGGGAGTCCTCGTGTGGCAGTCTGGGGCCTGGCGGCGGGTGGGAAGACTGAGGTGTGATCCAGCCTTGCCATGACTAGCTTTGAGAACTAGGGCTGCTGTCTTGCCTTCTCTGGCTCTCAGTGCCCCCCTCCATACAATGGGGCAAGATGATCCCCCAGGGAGGGTTCAGCACTGAGGTCCTATGATCCTGTGACTATGTGAGATAGGGCCCCTTCGTGGCAAGAGGGGGAGTATTAATCGAGGACAGGCTGCATGTCAGGCCTGTGCTTAGTCTAGCTGGGAAGGCTGAGGCGTGCAGAGGAGCTGAGCTCCCTTTTGGGATGGGAGGAAGGCTTCCAGGGACTAAAGATGGACCAGAAAGCAGGCAGGACTTAGATGAGACACCAGGAAGGGCTGCAAAACACTGTGGGAGACTCCTTGAGGGGAACACCTTAAGTCCAGGTTGGCTTGAGGGATTGACCTCCGAGAGAGCAGGCGATGCCGTTTCCTGGTGGGCCAGGAGCTGAGGGATCGTCTCTACCCCAGGACGCACCCTCGGCTCTGGGGCCTTTGGGCAGGTGGTGGAGGCCACGGCTCACGGCCTGAGCCATTCACAGGCCACGATGAAAGTGGCGGTCAAGATGCTGAAATGTGAGTCCTGGGAGCCTGCCCCTCCCTCACATCTGGGCCCCCACGTCCCCCCTGCCCCCTGCCCACACATTCAGGCCCTCCCTGGTTCCGATTTGCACAAGCAATGTAGTCACCTGGAGGCCAGCACCACTCCAGACTCTGCTTTGGCTAAGAGGCTTCCTCACCCTGCCCCCCTTCCAGGCACCTCCTTCCCTCCCTGACCTTCCTCCCATCCTCTTTCTCCTCCCCCTACTCATGGGTCCTCACCGCCCCAGGCCATCTGGGTCTTACAGTAGGGTGTGGAGCACAACAGCCTCCTTGGGGCCTGAGTGACAGGGCAGGCCTGAGGCCCCATCTCCTCCCTCAGCCACAGCCCGCAGCAGCGAGAAGCAAGCCCTCATGTCAGAGCTGAAGATCATGAGTCACCTCGGGCCCCATCTGAACGTGGTCAACTTGCTGGGGGCCTGCACGAAAGGAGGTACCAAAACCACTCCCCCAGAGGATTCTGGAAAGTGCCAGCAGCCCAAGCCTGGCCCCTCCCCACCCCCTCCTCAGTCCACGGACAACAGGACTCTCCAGCTGGAGGGTCTACACCCACCCTGTATGGTGCCCTCACTTCACAGACCCAGATGGGGGTGGGATTTACAAACTCATGGAATCACGACACCTTCAAGGCCTAAGGACTCCTCAGGTCGGCCGTTTCCAAACCCAGGGGTCTTCTGACTTTTTAAAATTTTCAGAACACCTTCTACAAACTCATAAATCCCAGCCCCTGTGAGGTGAGTTCTATCCCTACACTTGGAGACCACCAGCATGCTGACTGGGAGCTGCTTTCATTCAGATCATAGAATGAAGTCTCTCCAGCTAGTGTGTGTTTTTGAAACTCTGATTGTAAGTTAGGCCATAAAAAAAAAAAAAAAAGAAGTGTTATCATTGTTTGCAGCTGCTTATTGTGAGCTTTGGGATTTTCCTCAGTATTGTGCAACCAAAATAAAATACAGAAGTGAATTGCACACATAGGCCAATTTATGTCCACAAGATCCCACCCATTTCAAAATGTTTGTTTTCATTAGTATCTTCAAGTTCCCATGGATTGACTTCAAGTAAATGTACTGTATTTGGATTGAAACGGTAACCTGATAATAAATGGTTGCTTTTATTTGCTTTATATACTGGGCTCCAGCCTGAGCTTCAGTCTGAAGACCGATCGGTGGTATCTGCCGCCGTGTCCTTGCTACATGCCAGGCCCCGGGCCGAGCTGACAAAAGCATTATCTTATGAACGCTCACGGAGGTGGCTAGGATTAGCCCCATTTAACGGATGCGGAAAGTAAAGCTCCGCGAGAAGAAGTATCTCGCTCGTGGTCACAGAGGCAGGAAAAGAACCGGGGTTTGCCCAGTGCCAAAGCCTCTTGGCCGTCTTACCAAACTGCCTTTCCAAGGCGCAGCCCGTCATTAGCCTCGGGGCCCTGACGGCAGGTGTGTGCCCCCGCCCCCCGGAAGGAGCCGTGCCTGAGCCTGTCCCCCCACAGGACCCATCTACATCATCACCGAGTACTGTCGCTACGGGGACCTGGTGGACTACCTGCACCGCAACAAGCATACCTTCCTGCAGCGTGGCTCCGACAAGCGCCGCCCGCCCGGCGCCGAGCTCTACAGCAACGCCCTGCCCGGCGGGCTCCCGCTGCCCAGGTACCGCAGGAGGCTTCGGGGGGCCCCGGGGAGAACCTGTGCACGCCCTGCCCG